ACATATATAAAGAAACCAATTTGAAATTTTGCTAATATTTATATATAAAGTGGCTAAATTTAAATTTTAATATATATAAAGTGGCTAAATTTGCTTTTTTTAATATATAAAAGGTGGCAAAATTTTATTTTTAATTATAAAAATACAATAACTTCAACTTGCTATAAATTTTTTCTAAATAGATTTAAAAAAATAGAAGTGTTTAGTTTGTTTTGATTTAATATTTTAAGATAATATTTTTTTTTTACTATTTTTTTTAAAAAAAAAAATTAGCAATTTGAATTTTATCAGTTTTATTGGTTGGGACTTGGTTATATGCACTGTATAATATTTTGGATATATCTTACTATAAGTAATATTTCAAGTAATATTTATTCGAGCTCAAAAAGATATTATATTTTTTCAAATTAAAGACTTAATTCAATATTCAATTTTTAAATCTTATATCTAAATAGAAAAACACTAAAATGAAATATAGCATGTATAAAACTAAAGCTCAGAGGAGTATTTTGTTTGGGTTAGCAACCTTTTTTGTTTTAATGTTTTAAATATCTATATTGATTTTTACTAATATATATTCATGATAAGCTGTATCATCTTTTCTGTGGATTTTTGAACTTTTAGTTAGCTTTTTGACTTTATTTCTAATAAAGTTACCTAACTCAGATACTAAACCTCAGTATATATAACATTGTTTACTAGTTTTGCTTCTTGGCTAATAATTTCTAATTGGTCTATTAATTCAACATAGTCAGTTAATTTAACATAGTTAGTTAATTCAACATGGTCAATTGAGTCAAAATAATTTGTTGAATTTGTAATTGCTATTTGCTATTTTGCTTTTTTCTTCTTTGATCATGATTCTTTTTATAGATATAACACATTTTATAATAAATGCTATTCTAATAATTAAAGAAGTTGAAGTAAAAATAATTATTTTTGGGTGTAAGATTCTTTTTTTAATTTTTAATAATAATAATAATAATATTTATTTTTTATTTATTCTTTTTTTTTCAAAAAACTCTTTCTAATAATCACTTTTACCAAAAATTTCTAAAAAACTTTTTACTAGTAAAAAATATAAACAGCTATATTAATCTATAAGCTATGAGAAAAGTGACTTTAGAATAACAACTATCATTTAAAGATAGTTCACATATAATATCTGCTGATTTTTTTAAAGTTTATTATTTACTGTTTCTACAAGTATAGTACTTGTTATTTAGAGATAGTTCTCATATGCTATCTGCTAACAAGTTTAGTTTATCACTCACTGAAAAAACTCAGTACTGTGCATGTTCTGGTGTGAACTATAGTTAATTCTAATAAAAGAAACTTACACTTTTATTTTGTATACAAATAGTTTTTTTCTTTACTTCACCTCTCTGCCACTTTTACAAAAATTTTGACAAAAAGTGGGCATTCCAGTTTACCCCCTCCAAAAGATTAGTATTGTTTATACTTTTCATTTTCAGATAGACAAAGTAAGACATAAATATAAAATTGTTTTGGCAATAGTGTTTCTACACTACATGATGAACTAATCAGTGCTTTGGTTAACGAACCGACCTGGATCAAATAGTATAGTTGGAAGAAAATTTAAGGATAAGGCTTAGCTTTACAGTAGGGATATCAAAATTTTAAATTTTGTATATAATTTTTATAACTGTGCCTGATACAGGCTATAATAGCACTTTCATAAATTGTATTTTTTTCTGTCTTTTTCTTCTTCTTTTATTTGTTTTTTCTTTCATTTTCTTGTTGCTTAGGCAATTTTTTTCATTTCCCTTTTATTTTGTTCCTTATATTTTGTTAGTATTAGTTTTTTTCATATTTTAGTTGGAAACTATGAATATTTCTGCTCAGGAAGCTAGAAGAAGAAGGTGATCTTGATAGGCCATAAGTACTATTTAGTGATATATCAAATTATACAGTTGCAAGATTTTTTTGATATTGAGATAAACTTTACTATAGCAAAGAGCCGAGTTAGCTAATACTTTTAATTTAGATGGGCTTTAGATAATTAAAGCTAAAAATCATATTTTCTCTATAAGTTAAATATTGTGCTCTAATAAAGTATTGGCAAGATTATGAATTTTTTAAAAAAAAAAAATTTATTCTTTTTTTTATTCTTTTAATTTCCTTTTTCTATTTTCTTGATTTGTAAATACTGCATTCTTCTTATACTATTTATGTTTATCTTCTGTTTGATCTGTAAATACTTTTTGCTTTGTATTGTTATAGCTATCAATGTGCAGACATATTAAGAAAATTTGACAATATAGTTAGCATATTTATATATATATGGGCTTGGTGCTACATAAAAGAGGAAAATCGACAAATTTTTGAAAATTTTTTTTTTACACAACTCAATTTAGAATGACATTAGGATCATTTTTCACTTAAAATATAAAAGAAGTTATATTAATAAAATTTTGTAGTATAGCTCTTTAAAGTTTGTATTTTTCTTATGATTTATTATAAAATTTATAACATAAAATTGATCTTCCGAAGATCTTTTGTTTTGTCGATTTCTCCCTTTTCTGTAGCACCAAGCCCATATAATCAACAGGAGGAAACATCCAAATATAGGGGTCGTCTAAAGCCGTGTCCAAACATGTGATACAGAGCCAATAAAATCGTTTATTTTGATCAACACGGATTAGCCCGAAGAAAAAAAAACAGATAAAAAAGTAAAAAACACAAAAAACAAAAGAAACGAGTGTCTAAACCTATCTCGAAGCATTAATAAAAAATGTCAGGAAGGCAATTTTACTATAAAAAAACACTCTAACCCTAACCCAAACTAACACTTACTCTAACTTAAACCAAATATTCAAAAACATATAAATGGACACGGCTTTAGACGTCCCCCAAATATAGATATGATTTTCATTCTCTATTACACAGATCACTCATTGTATCGACCAGTCAAAATATCACTACGGGATTAGTCAACCAATCAAATTGCGAAATTTACAAAAAGACGAAACCATGGGATTCAAGGGGATTCAAAAAATATGTTGTAAAGCAAAGTGAGAGCTTCATGTTTGTTTAACCATTTTCAATATTCATATAAAAGATAAGTCAAGCGAGCCTTCCAAAAAAGTATTGTAAAATAATATAAAAAAAAATTTTATCAATTGTGTAACAATTTTATGACATTCAACGTTTCCACCTGTTTATATAATCATGTAATTATCATTATTTTGTGACCGTCATCTCAACAGGCCTACTCTTATTTATAACTGCTGTCCCAGGAGGCCACAAAAATTATGCATTGCTCTAACGTGTGTAGGGTGGATAGCCAGAACAAAAAGTCAGGTTCGTAGAAAAGACAGATTATTTTCCACTTACTTACTAAATATACTATGATCCAATTACCTCATAATTAATCGGTTACTTCACTAAGACAAATCACTAACCACAATAATCGTATTACTAATTATAATACCTGATTACGTTCTATCCGATCGAACATGTGATCGTAATCGGATGTTTGATCGGATGTCACACGACTCAAGACAAAAGCTGCCTCGATATTTACGTATAGAGCAGCAATTAATTCTAAGGTCAGTGAGGCTTTCATAAGGTCAGCGAACTATTTCACAATTTTGGAATTCGGATACGATCATTATGACATTTTCCGATCTTATTTTAAACCCAGAATAAAATCCTACATCATACTACATACGTATGTATGTACTGTAACATAATTAATTTCCAATTATGATACTTAATGTCGTAATTTTATGTCTTTTTCGCACGTCCCAAATCTATGTTGATCACCGAATCGAAAAAGCATCAAGTGCAGGTTTAATTTACTTTATATTCGGTTATTTAAATATACTTATAAACCTAAAATTTCGTGCTGGAAACTTTTGCTTAGAAGTCAAACTACGGTTATCGTAGTAAAATCTTGAGTTATTTGTGATTTTTCCGCGAAAAAGAAAAACCGTAAATAACTCAAGATTTTACTATGATAACCGTAGTTTGACTTCTAAGCAAAAGTTTCCAGCACGAAATTTTAGGTATATGAGTATACTTAAATATCGAATTAAATCTGCACTTAATGCTCTTTCGATTCGGTGATCGACATAACCTGTCACAGATTTGGGAGTGCGTCTTTTTCGGTTACTATCATAATAAATGTCGTAATTATTAATTTTCTCACCGTTTCAGATCACATTTTTCGGATCTGATCCAATCAAAAACGTTAAAACCTACAAACTCAGAATTAACTACCACAGAGTTGACACAGAATTTATGGGATCGCACAGAATTTTTTTTAAAAAAGTTATCACATTAAATCACAGAATTTATCTTAACCACATACAGAATTTAGCCTTAACCACCGCAGAAAATCACTGTCCCTGCGCGAATCTCACCCTCATGTGATCTGCATAGCAGATCTGTAACTTTACTAAACATATTTCGCTACGCTCCGGACAATTAAAATTTATCAAAAGCTTTCAGTTATTAAAATGCGTAGAAATATGTATCTCCAGTATTCTGAACATTAAGTTCATTATAACCAAAGTTCAGGTTTGATATAGAGAGGCGACTTTAGGGTGTCGACTTCAATTGCTTAATGTTTTTCAGTAACTATAAAAAAATTATAGCAATTTTTATTTATAATGAAATAAGATACATAGATATTACATATATAAATACAGTACATGAAAAAAAGGCATAGTTGGATAGTAGCGATTAGGAGTTAATAGCAGACAGTTGCAAACCTAATCAAAGAGCTTGCAGTTGATTGTACGTTACGTACGCTGTCCAAATTCCCAATTTCTGGAAACTACTTTTTATAATCAACTGATAAATAATAAACTTGCATATGTTTTTGTTGGTGTTATTTTTTTATATATACATACCATATAATCGTGCATATTTAAAGTGTTCTATATAGAGAATGTACTTAGAAAATGCATATATAAAGAATTCTTAGGTGCTTATATGGGTGTGCGACTGTAGTATCAACATAAATCGTTACTCTAACAATCGTTTAGCTCTTTAAACATTATAACTTTTACAAAATTGCCATATGTGACGGCTAATCCGTCTTCACCCACTTTGACAATTCGTCGTATACGAGAAAATGGTAACATCTCGTTCATTACATCTTCCTCTTTAAATGATATTCGATCATAGTGACTGTTATTTGGATAAACACGCTGCTTCTGACTTCGCTGCCTAAAATCCATAACTTGTCCTTGTACATAGTCCTCTTCATTGTGAATATGTGAATGATTTTCATTTTGATAATCGGAATGAGATGAATTTGAGAGGTAGTTCTTATTTGCCATCGAAACAACTTTACGTCGCCCAACAAACCCTTTTAATTTCTCCATATTTTCTCGGTCTTGTTTATATATTTCTTTTTTCTTTATTTGTTGTTCTTCCATTATCAAATCACTGTCGTTAATCAATGGAATAGTTTTAACTTTAAATTCATCATCATCATGATTTTCTAAAAAATCAATTTCTTCGATTGGCTCAAACGCATTAGGGTCGTTAATATCAAAAGTCCAAACTTCCCATTCACCTTCAGCACCATGACTCCTTTTTATGGGTGTATTTTGATCCGTAGTACGACGAACTCCAATTATATGTCCTTTAAGAAGCACGATCACTGAACTACCGGGTTGTCTTATATTTCCAAGAAAATCTTTTTGAAATCGTTCTGAGATATCTACGTTATCTTTATAATTAAGAGGAGGTTCTTCTAGTTGAGATGTCATGCACGTACAGTCCACAAAATTTCGGGTTAATTTCCAAAATTTTACTTTTTCATCCAATGACGAAGTTATTATTGAAAAACCTCTACTCTCTTCAGTATCACCACATGGACAACTTTCTTCTTTAAGTGGATGAATTATAATACTTATAATTGCATCTTGGTGTGATGAATCGAAACTTTCTATTTCATCATTCTCATCTTCGTCTTCTTCAAACCAATCCTGTTCTGAAGAGAAAGTTTTAAATTTTTTCTGTCGTTGTTGCTC